CAACGACCCCGAAGAATAACGAACGCGGTGAAAAAAGGAAGAAGAAGAGATGGTTCCAGTTTACGTGGAAATTGCAAGTGAACTTTTGCAACGGAATCCTCTCGCTGGGGGAGTTGGAGAGTCGATTTCAGGGAAGGCTGATAATGGGTTAATTGGAATCTTCATCCCTGACCTCGCGACTATTCTCGTCGCGGAATAATTGGGAGGAGGGCGGCTGAACGCGGGGTTTAAATGGCCTCGCTTCGGGGGTGCATTGACGCGGTCGAGAAGGTTATTTCAGCTACAAGATTGCCCTGGCCCATTCACGTTGCCCGTCAAAGGAGACGAGAAATAAAAGCAGAGAAGAATCGGGAAGGAGGTTTGCTCGGTTCCGAAGACCCGCAGCTCTTCAATATCAAGGGGTCTCTGCTCAACATTTCTCCTCTCCCTTTCTCACGGGTCAAAGAGGGTCCAAGCGGCTATTTTTTCCCCGGAGACCACACTTTTTTTTCGTTTCTTTTCACCCGGCGAACAAACGATCCGCGAGAAAGTAGAAAACACCGGGTGGTTGTTGCAGACAAACGCGATTTACAGCGAGGGAGAAAGGTAACCGCGAATGGAAAAACGAGCGGCATGAATTGGTCGGAGGCGCGAGGAGAACCTTTGGTTTTTCGACGAAATAATTATCATACACGATCAATCATCCGCGCGATGAAAAGCTCGTTCTCGAGGAGTCTTTGGAATAAGAACCGGGAGATAAATGAAGGGATAAAGATGTGCAGCAGGGTGGAAGAAAGGGCGACGGTGTTGACGTCGAGGCGAAAAGTGAGATGGAATAAAAAGTGTTGTTTAATTCTGACAGACGTTCTTTCACGAACCAGATGAATAAAATCACACCCCCCTTCGCGTATCTCCTCCAGAATGTCGTCTTGAACCGGTGAAACTTTCGTTAGAACTTCCATCAACGGTGGAGAAGAGTCTCTCGACGCGCACACCAGTTGATACAGAACGTTCAGCAGCCACGAGTGCTGCTGTAATATTTTCTCCGAGATCGGGGGAATATAAAATTTCCAGCGAGTGGAAAAAGATTTCGTAACTGGTTAGGCGAAGTGCAGACGAAGACACGCCTCGCATCCGGGAGTCGATGCTCCTCGACGACGGTGACTGTTGAAACGGGGGTTCGCGAAAAACAAATAATCCCGCGGTTGGTTAACGAGATCTGGATCTTGCCCGCGGTTTTCTTGCGTAACCGGATCTAGTTCTCATCTCGGTGCTCGCGTTCCTCTTCTTCTTCTTCTTCTTCTTCTTCTTCTTCTGCGTAGCTCGTCCCCGTTGACGCGATCGGTTCCAGTCCCGATACTCGCTCTCGAGGATTCACTTTCTTGGATAGACCGTTGCAAACTCCTTCCATTCCACGTTCACCTCGCACGAGTTTGCAAATTACCGGGCCGCGGTCGAAAAACTGCTCCGACCGAATGCTTTCGCCTCGGTTTCCTCCTCAAACTTTTCTCCCTGGAAAACTAGAGCGGCGTTAGTTAACGTTACGATTCTTCCGTGAAAAATTGCACGTCCGAAATTTTTCGAACATTTTGTGTGTAATCAACGATCGATACTTCAACTCTCGAGGGGTTTCCTGCTGTCCGCGAGGTTTCACGTGGCCTCGATGATTTTTCCAAGGCACGGCGACCTTGAGCCAGTCGGATAGCCGGGATTTTCAGCTCGTCCATTTCGCGAGATATTTCAACGTCGCGGCGGAAGATGTAGATAAAGTGCGAACGTCCGAAGATGGTACGCTCGGCGTGTTTTACTTTCTGCTTCTCCTTTTTTTTTTTTCTCCTCCTCTCTTCTTCTTGTTCGCGGCCGCGGTGCAATAACGCGCGCGCACCGCCGCTATACGACGTGGATAGAAATAAATACGCGGGGTTAGACAGGCCCATAGATCACCGGTATTCGGTATCATCGGTATTCGCAACGGCGGCGTTCCTTCCCCTTTTTTCTCGTCCCCTTTTTTCCCTCCTCGCCTCTTTTCACCCTTTTTTCCCTTCTTGTGCTCATCGATCGCGCGAACGAACGAGCGGAGCGAGCGTACACGGTCGATCTCGTCACGCGAGATTCACTTTCAGGGACGAGCTGACTCACGACGAGAACCGCCTCGTCGAATGTCTGCTCGCGCGCGTCCACTTTCCGCCGCGAAAAACCTACCCGTGACTATTCATTTTCACGGCTGGCGCGCGGACGATTCGATCCTCGAAATTGCTTCGCTCCGTGCACGAGGGAGAAAAAACGAAGGAAATTCCTTTACTTTGTATAATCGTTGAAAACGTCCGTTACGCGCGCGGTGTGTTACAACGTGGAGGCAATTAAACAGCCTCGCTCTCTAGATTACTTTCTTCGGCGAATTACGCGATTACATGCGTATCGCGTTAAAGGAGTAACCGCGAGAGCGCTTGCGTCGCGTAATTAAACGCAGGCCGCGTATACAGAGGCGCTTGTTATAAAACTATCGCCGGTGGTTGGTAGTGGCGTGATTAAGCGAGTCACGCAGCGATCCATCGTGCGGTGTACGAAGGTGGGGAAAAGTCTGTTGGCGAGTAACCCTTCCTTGAAGGAGCGCGCGACCGTTAAGAGCTCTGAGTGCGTTCGTCTACGACATCGATCCTCGAACATCTCCAAACGTCACCCGAGAAAAGTCTATGTAATCGAACGAGATTGTAATCTAAGACGAAGTATCTGTAGCAGAAGAAAAGGACACGTTCGATTTTCCAAACGATAAGTACATAAGGGGATGATCTACGAGTTCCCGTCTACCTGGGACGTATCTCTAATTTGCATTACAACTTCGAGGTTCCCGTGATAATCGTAATTGCTGCTAACGGTAGACATTAGCGAGGCCGTAGCCGTGATATTGCCTATCCGTCAGTAATCTAACGCTATGAAGCACGACGCCTCCGATAATTACAAAGAAGCGCTAACCACCAGGAAGCGACAGGGTGAATCCCCATTAAAGCTTGGGATAATTTTATACTTTGTGCTCCCGTGATTTTCTCCGCGAGATCTATCGTTGGAACGAGAGGCAGCGATAGAGAGAGAGAGAGAGAGATGGGGATGGAAGAAAAAGGGAGAACGTGTATCGGGACGATCGAACTGCTAGAGAAGGATCTGTTGGGAAAATCGACGGAGAGAGTCTAGACGTGTCACGGGTGGATAGGTTTCGCGTATTACACACGTATATGTAAGGACGTAGAGGGATCGATGGTATTTAACCTACGGACGAAATCTCCTTTTTTCCTTTAATTCGCAGCTCAAGTACAAAAGGCGGGTCTACAAGATGCTGCATCTGGACGAAAAACAGCTGAAGGCGATGCACACGAGAACGAACTTACGAAGGTTGCTGGAGTACGTGGCGAACAGCCAGGTCGAGAAGATTGCCAAGATGTGCAGCAAGGGTCTGGATCCTAATTTCCACTGCCAGGAAACCGGAGGTAAACACGATTACAATGTTCCTCTCGGGCGGATCCTCTCGTGTTAATCCGACAAACGTACTCGGTTCTCCCGCCCCGGGGGGAAAGAAAGAGTTGATTTCATTTAGATAAAAGCTTCGAGAGTAGGGTAGGAGGGAGAGAAGGATCCTTTCTGAAAGTTACCAGTATGGATAACTGTATTTGGCAACCGCGGACAGTTCCCCGTTCGACTAATCGTAGAACTGGTATCCGCGGAGGAGACCGCGACCTTGAGTGCTACGTAAAATGATTATCGGATTTTCCCGCGGCTGAGAAGCCGCTCGGCTTATTATTACCGAGTGACAAAAGCGTAATTTTAGCGGAGATTAATCGAACACGCGCGCGTGTTTCCCCCGATTACGTCGAATAATTGCGAGATAACGGAGAGAATGGTTCGCTATGAGAGAGATTCGATTGTTGCAGAAACTCCGCTAACCTTGGCCACGACTCTGAAGAAACCGTCGAAGGTGATAATAGCACTGGTGAACGGCGGAGCGCTGCTGGATTATCGAACGAAAGAAGGCCTGACGGCGATGCACCGAGCCGTAGAGCGGAACAGCTTGGAGGCGGTGAAGACGCTGCTGGAGCTCGGCGCCAGCCCGAACTACAAGGACACCAAAGGGTTGACGCCGCTCTACTACAGTGTCATCTATAAAACCGATCCGATGCTGTGCGAGACGCTGCTCCACGATCACGCCACGATAGGAGCGCAGGATTTGCAGGGCTGGCAGGAAGTGCATCAGGTCTTGCTGAAAATTCTCTCCTTTGACCCTTCCGTTGTGCAAATTTCGCGAAAAAGGGTTAGATCGTCCAGTAAGTTCGCGGCGTTTATGGAAGAGTGCAGTCGCACTCTCGTTCCACAACTTATCTTTTGGGCAAAATCATCAAATTTCTTGCATCAAATTTTTGCATACTAGAAAATTTTGTAATGTACGAATGGGTGTGATAACATTTCTCAAATTCACATTTTCTGCCATACATGGTCTAGCATTATCTCGGAGAAAAATTCCTTTCTCTCAGCTTCTCCAACCGAGCACGTTACACGTCCGAACGAATAGTTTCGTTTCTCGAAAGTGACTTGAAATATAAAACACATCGCCGCGCGAACTTACTCGACGACCCGAACACACTCGAATACAGAAAAGCGACGAGTGCGGGAAACAAGCGAAATGGTTAAGATTTTCTCGAAGAGAAAACACTTATCCCCTCCGGGGTGAGATTGAAAGGACGTGGAGGAAAGAATCTCGGTTTAATTATAATCCCATCCCCCTTCGATAATCGATACCACCCTTGGTGTTCACAGGCCTGCCGCAACAACCTGGTCCAGCACCTGGATCACTTGCTTTTTTACGGCGCGGACATGAACGCGCGTAATGCATCTGGTAATACGCCGTTGCACGTTTGCGCAGTGAACAACACGGACTCCTCTTGCATACGCCAGTTGCTGTTCAGAGGCGCGCAGAAGGACAGTCTGAATTACGCGAACCAGACGCCGTACCAGGTCGCGGTGATCGCTGGGAACATGGAGTTAGCCGAGGTCATCAAGAATTATCAGCTGGAGGAAGTTGGTGAGTTGCGACCGTGACCAACAACCGACCACGCGTGGTTTCATAGACGAGCAACGCGAAACGAGCGAACGTTGTTTCGATCGCTGTAACAGAGAAACTTTGCTCGAGTGTCTCATTTTTTCTTCTTTTTTTTTTCTTTCTATTACCGAAACGAAGAGAATCGTCGCCCACTTCCTCGTTCGATCGTTAATCCGTCGGTCGACCTTGCGCGTTGTACGATCGCGCACCACTTATCTCGATCGCGTGGCATTCCTCGTAAAAGAAAAGAGGCGCGATAACGGAATAGTATATACGGCGATTCGGTGAATCGGTGACACTTAGTGTCGTTCCGTTTCGCCGAAAAATTTGTTCGATCGTGCGACGACATCGTTTGGCACTCGGTGAAATCTTGCG